TGTTGCGCAGGCTGGAGTGCAGTGGCATGACCTCGGCTCACTGCAACCTCTGCTTCCCAGGTTCAAGCAATTCTTCTGTCTCAGCCTCCCGAGTAGCTGGGATTACAGGCACCCGCCATCATGCCTGACTAGTTTTTCTATTTTTGGTAGAGACAGGGTTTCACCATGTTGGCCAGGCTGGTCTTGAACTCCTGACCTCAAGTGATCCACCCACCTCGGCTTCCTAAAGTGCTGGGATTACAGGCATGAGCCACCGCACCCGGCCTATGCTGTGTGATATTTATATAGCCACCCCACTCTCTTAGTTATCTTTTACATGGGATATCTTCTTCCATCCTTTCATTTTCAGACCTAGTTGCATCTTTGTTTGGATCTAAAGTGAGTGTCTTACAGATAACAGAGTTGCATCATGTTATTTTTAATCTATTTATATTTAAAGTCATATCTGATAAGGAAGGATTTCTGCTATTTTGCTGTTTTCATTTGCTCTTTTTTTTCTTTCAATTCTTCTATTACTGTCTTCTCAGGTGATTTCTTTTTCTTTTTTTTTTGGAGGGTGGGGGTTAAGGTCTTACTCTGTCACCCAGGCTGGAGTGCAGTGGTGTAATCTCTGCTCACTGCAACCTCTGCCTCCCAGGTTCAAGCGACACTTATGCCTCAGCCTCTCAAGTAGCTGGGACTACAGGTGCATGCCATGATGCCTGGCTAATTTTTTGGTATTTTTTGGTAGAGTCGAGGTCTCAGCATGTTGGCCAGGCTGATCTTGAACTTCTGACCTCAAGTGATCTGCCCACCTCTGCCTCCCAAAGTGCTGGGATTACAGGTGTGGGCCACTGTGACTGGCCTATTTTTTCTGATATATTGTTTTATTATCCTTCTCATTTTTCTTTCTGTATTGTTTTTGTTTTTGTTTTTCCTTAGTGGTTACCCTGGGGATTAACATCTTAGGTTTTTAACAGTCATGTTTGAATTAATACCAACTTAGTTTCAGTACTATGCATAACTCTGCTCCTTTGCAGCTATATCTTTGTATGTTACATCTTTACACATTAAAATATATGTCCATTAACCTAGAATTGAAATTTTTGTTTTATGCATTTGTATTTTAAATTATGAAGGAAAGAAAAGGAGAATTTACAAACAAAAACTGCAATACTACTGACTTTCATATTTACCTATGTAGCTACCTTTGCCGTTGCTCTTTATATCTTCATATGACTTCAAATTACTGTCTATGTTTTTTCATTTTAGCCTGGAGGATTCTGTTTAGCATTTCTTTTCTTTCTTTCTTTCTTTTTTTTTTTTTTGAGACAGAGTCTTGCTCTGTCTCCCAGGCTGGAGTGCAGTGGTGCAGTCTCAGCTCACTACAACCTCCACCTCCCGGGTTCAAGCAATTCTTCTGCCTCAACCTCCCGAGTAGCTGGGACTACAGTTGCGTGCCACCACGCCCGGCTAATTTTTTTGTATTTTTAGTAGAGACAGGGTTTCACCATGTTGGCCAGGCTGGTCTCAATCTCCTGACCTTGTGATCCGCCCACCTCGGCCTCCCAAAGTGCTGGGATTACAGGTGTGAGCCACTGCTCCCAGCCTCTCTTCAGCATTTCTTAGCACAGGTCTGGTAGTGATGAATTCCTTTAGTTTTTGTTTATCTGGGAATGTCTTATGTTCTCCTTCATTTTTGAAGGACAGTTTTGCTAAATGTAGAATTCTTGGTTGGCTCCTCTGCTTTCAGCATCAGATTCTATCCCCTCCCCAGGGCTTATTATTGCTGCTTATTGTGAGTGGTTTTTGTTTGCTTGTTTAGTGACTTTTCTAAGCTATTTTTATAAGGTCTATGGTTCTGGTCATGTGGGGCCACTGAAGTTGATTCCATTTGCTTGGTAATCAGCTAGTGTTTTTGACAGTTTCATTAAAACACCTGGAGCCAAAAGAAAAAAACAAAACACAAAAAACCTCTCCCCATCTTTACAGATGGATTTATGTTGGGGCACTATTTGACCACTTAGTGATGCCATTTATAATTCTGCCTTAGCCTTTCTCTTACTGTTTGCTCAAGGCCTGAAGATCAGCCAGGGTGAAAGCTTAGGGTCTTCTTGGGTCTTTCCTGGGCCTTTCGTGAGTGTGCGTCCAGCCCTGGCCTTGTGCACGTCCTTCTTGATTGGCATACACACCCCTTATTACCCATGAATATCCTTTCCCATTCCCTTTCTGTCCAGGCTTTTCCATCTGTCTGTTTCTTGTCCCAGTTGTTGTCCCTTGCCCCAGGCTGCTGTATCAATTAAATGATTTTTGCAAAAACCACCCAGGAAGACTCCCTATACCTGGGAATGACGCAAGTCAGGCAAAGCCAAGGCAAGCCATTGCTCAGGTCCTTCAGGGAGCTGCCAGACAAGTTGAAACCCACAATCATAATTGTTTAAAAATGAGATCTGTATTGCTTCCTCTGGCATTAGGAGTGCAGGTTACTATCCACACACCCATCACTGACTTGGGGTGTGGGGGATAGTGGGCAGGCAACTTAGGATGCTGTAGCACTCTCTTTACCACAGAGCAGCAACTTCTTTCTTCACCAAGCCTTGCCCTAGATTTTATACGTTGTTTTTTTTTTTTTTTTACTAGATTCCAGAATTCTGCAGAAGTTGAGTCTGACAGTATTTACCAGCTCATTAATTGCATTCATTGCTTTTTGCAGTGACAGTGCCATTTTTGGTGGTATCACCCCAAATGTAGGGATTTCTCAGAAGGTTATCATTAACCAGAAGTAAGAAAATTAGGAAGGAAGAAGTTGATTTATGGGTACAGACTGGACTATTTGTATTTGGACATGAATGTTGGGTTTGAGGTACTGATGGCACAATCTGTGGGTGTCTAGTGACAGTTAGAATTGTAGTGCCTGAATTCCAGAAAGGTCTTAGAGCTGCAAAGAGATCTGGGAACCTTCTGCACAGAAATTATAGAAAATGAAAGTGTATGATTTCCTCGGAATAGAGAGGAAGGTCAAGTATGGCATCTTGTGAAACACTTTCAGCTAAGAAATTCTTCATTTATTCATTCAGCATGTTCGCTGACTGCTGAATAAATAATTTTGTTTTTCCTTTGTTCCTACTACTGATGTATGTACTGCTAAGCATTGGAGATAGAAAGGAATAAGATCTCGTTTTCTGCCCTCAGGAAGTTCACTCATATTGAGGAAGACAGACAAGTAAACAAGTACAATGCAATGTGATAATAACAAGGTTAGAGGAGCCCAGACAGAGGTAAACAAGAATATGTAAACAGGTCGGGAGGGAAAATAAGAAATTCAGGGAAGTCAAAGAAGGAGAGAACATAATGGAGAGAGTGGTCTGTGATCTTGGTTGCTGCATAGAGTTTGAGAAGGCTGAGGACTTTAAAAGTTACTGATTTGACAGTAAGGAGAGATGACATAATGTATTCATAAGAATGGTTTTAATTGAGTAGTTTTGTTAGAATGCTGGAGACAAAGGATCAGATAATAAAGAGTTGGGAGTGTGAGTAGTGAAAAAGTTGAGGGAAAAGGAAAAGACAACTTTTTTTTTTTTTTTTGAGACATTCTCGCTCTGTCGCCAGGCTGGAGTGTAGTGGCATGATCTTGACTCACTGCAACCTCCACCTTCCAGGTTCAAGCAATTCTCCTGCGTAGCTGGGACTACAGGCGTGCACCACCACGCCCAGCTAAGTTTTGTATTTTTAGTAGAGACGGGGTTTCACCATGTTTGGCCAGGATGGTCTTGATCTCTTGACCTTGTGATCCGCCTGCCTCGGCCTCCCAAAATGCTGGGATTACTGGCATGAGCCACCATGCCCAGCTGGGAAAGACAACTTTTAAAAGAGTGGTATAAGTTTATTCTATGGGAAAATTGGACCAGTTAGAGAAAAAAAATAAATTAGCAAAATGTTACAGTTTAAAAGTTGTAGCAGAGTTAAAAATAACTTCATTTTGAATTAGAAAAGATTTGAGTGTGTTTTTAGATAATTGAAGGGACTGAATAGGAAGGAAAATAAGGATGTCGAGTCCCAAGAGAGTCCGGAAAGATAGTATTAAGATCCTAGAAGGATCAGGATTTGGAGACTTGAGTGAAGAGAGAGAGTGAGAATAATGAGAGTTTTGAGACAAAAGGAATTTGAGAAGTTTTACCTAGGGAGGCCTGTTTTCTAGGTAAAGTAGAACATAAAATCACACGCTAAGAAATGGGCAGCAGTGAAAATGCCTGACTGAAGTTGATGTAGCATACATTTGTATTGATAGTACCATTTGGTGATTTTCTCATTGCTTTCAACACATATGTATTTATTAAGCATTTACTGTGTACTAAGCACTGTACAAGATCCTTGGGATTCTATCTGTAAACAAACAAAACTCCCTGCCCTTGTGGTGGTTACATGTGACTGGGGTAAGGGGAGAAAAACAAATAAATAATATTTTAAAATAAACATATGAGGTAAATAACGCTACCTGGGTCTGGGAACCAAGAAAGCAAATGGGAAGATTAGCCAGACATAACTGCAATTTTATATTGCATATCATATTATAATTTAAGATAGAAATAATTTTATTTTTATACAGCTCATTGTAGACTCTAGCTTGCTTTAAACTAAGACAAGAAGAGTATGGGTATGGTGGAGCCTTTGTGTACCTAGATTGTAGCTATGAAAGAAATCTATATTTACATTTAAGAGAGAATTCATCAATTTAGGACAACTTTATAATTATGTTATAAAGTTATTTCAGGGCCTTTGACAAGAGAAAAGATGGTGAACTGTCATATAATAACTGAAATTAAATATTTATTTGGTTAGAAAAAGATAATTTGCATCTTATTTCCAAAAAGATGATTTTTAACTACATAGAAATTTGTTATGTTTAAAGGCTTTAAAGATCTATATAGAGTTGAAGATCCCTTTTTAATAATGAATAAATTGGTTCTTTTGGCAATCATTTTTTTATATTCTCCTCTCATGGCCCTTTTTAATTTCAACAGGCATTGGAAAAGTGAAAAGAAAACCTAGTGTGCCAGATTCTGCATCTCCTGCTGATGATAGTTTTGTTGACCCAGGGGAACGTCTCTATGACCTCAACATGCCCGCTTATGTGAAATTTAACTACATGGCTGAGAGAGAGGATGAATTGTCATTGATAAAGGGGACAAAGGTGATCGTCATGGAGAAATGCAGTGATGGGTGGTGGCGTGGTAGCTACAATGGACAAGTTGGATGGTTCCCTTCAAACTATGTAACTGAAGAAGGTGACAGTCCTTTGGGTGACCATGTGGGTTCTCTGTCAGAGAAATTAGCAGCAGTCGTCAATAACCTAAATACCGGGCAAGTGTTGCATGTGGTACAGGCTCTTTACCCATTCAGCTCATCTAACGATGAAGAACTTAATTTCGAGAAAGGAGATGTAATGGATGTTATTGAAAAACCTGAAAATGACCCAGAATGGTGGAAATGCAGGAAGATCAATGGTATGGTTGGTCTAGTACCAAAAAACTATGTTACCGTTATGCAGAATAATCCATTAACCTCAGGTTTGGAGCCATCACCTCCACAGTGTGATTACATTAGGCCTTCACTCACGGGAAAGTTTGCTGGCAATCCTTGGTATTATGGCAAAGTCACCAGGCATCAAGCAGAAATGGCATTAAACGAAAGAGGACACGAAGGGGATTTCCTCATTCGAGATAGTGAATCTTCGGTAAGTTGATTTTCAGATGTAAATACAAATAGAGCTCTATGTATTAAAAAGAAAAAGAGAAATGGAGAGGTTAAGTGGCTTCCCTAAAGTTAACCAGGTAACAAGCTGGGACATAACATAAGCATAAATGTTCCAAAGCTAAAGTCAGCATTCTTTCTAGCTATCTATTTTCAATGAAAAGAGAGTTGTGGCAGTGATGCTACATGCTGAGTTATTTGGTCTTTTCTAGTTCTGTTGATTTTGCATTCCTGATATATTTTCTGTTGCATTAAACTAAATGGAGAAAATGGAACATTGACTTCTTCATTGAATGTAGAATAATACTGTAGATTAAATTGGGAAACATTTTAAAAATTGCTATTGGATACAATGTGTAAGAAGATAGTCACTGTAGTCCTTATGACATAGGAAATCCCTGAATTTAAAAAATTGATACTAAGTTTCTTCATAAATTGGTTACTTGGAAATTGGAATACACTTTTTATTGTAATCTCAAAAAACCTATTTTAACACTGTGTTTGAAATGCATTTGCAATAAAAGGTAAATTATATTGCAATACTAGTAAACAATAAAACTATAAAACCATAAAAGTTGAAAAATAGTATGGTTTCATGGTCTCTTAGATACTGTTTAGGATATTAGAATTTGATGACACTCATTTTCCTTAAAAATGCCCTTTTCCTTGATAAAAGATATCATTACTTTTCCATTTATTAAATCATGATTAATCTTGGCTTTGCGTGAGTATATTTGTACAAAAGGGAATGTGTAATTGCACAAAATTTTGAAAGAAAATGTGTGGAAGTGGGGTGTGGTGGGGAGAGAGATTAATTGAACTTCTAATATGAAGTTCAGGAAAATGGGGCCTGTGCCTAATCCCTCAGAAAAGCAGTTGGTTGGCAGTAGGGAAGAGTGATGACATCCATTTTCTGTTAGTTGCCTGATCTGGCTCACTGTTTGAAACTTTGGGAGTAACTGTAGAAAAAGAGGCTTTTGGGGGTTGATATAGACTGTAACAACAACAACAACAACAAAAAACCTAATTAAAAAGAAAATAGCTTGAATGCAGAATTGTGTGTATTTTCTTGTGGGTAATTGAGCATAAATATAAGACAAAATACAATATATACCATTATTTTTAGCAGTATACTTTTTAAGGTTAGGTCTCAAGTAGGCATATTTTGTTTAGCCTTCACAGTGTTTTTTAAACGTTTAAATTCATTGCCCATATTTAAATATTAGGATATTTATTGTAAAAATTCAGACTTTGGACCATTTAAAATTGAAAGAACTACCAACATTGAGACCCTATTCCTGCGGGGCAACAATCACAGCTGAGAAGTCACCACTTCTTTAGATTGGTGATACACTGTCATTTTCTCTGCCCATCTACCCTTCCACTCTGACACTTGTTTACGTTATTCTTTTGGCTCTTGTAGGCATTTGAGTTTGTGGCCTTTCCTTAAAGTTTAGATTAATTCTCATTTGTGTGTTCTTCATTTTTGGGAATTCAGCGTGTTATCCCTAAGACAGCTACTGTTAGCTACACATTGAAAAGGGGTTGGGTGGGTATCTTAGACTTTCTCATGTGTTTCTCTGACTGGAGAGAAGATAGCTCTTGTTCTTCAAATATGTAAGGGATTTGCTGTGGGTGTCTACTGGTGGAGCTGTGGGTGTTAAGAGACTTTTGATTACACAGGTTTGAATCCTGGCTCTGTTGTTAACTAGATGGATGATACTGGCCAATTTATTAATAGCTTCCCTGAGACTCAGTTTTCACATCTGTAAAAAGGGTTTTGTTTTAGGGAGTAAAGGAGATAAATCTATGTAAATAATTTACCATGGTACCTAGGACTTAGTGCTTAAATTTTAGCTTTTAGTTTAATATAAAAATACTGATAGAGGGCTTTCAAAATGTTTACTGTATTTTTTTTTCTCTTTTAGCCAAATGATTTCTCAGTATCACTAAAAGCACAAGGGAAAAACAAGCATTTTAAAGTCCAACTAAAAGAGACTGTCTACTGCATTGGGCAGCGTAAATTCAGCACCATGGAAGAACTTGTAGAACATTACAAAAAGGCACCAATTTTTACAAGTGAACAAGGAGAAAAATTATATCTTGTCAAGCATTTATCATGATACTGCTGACCAGAAGTGACTGCTGCATAGCTGTAATTTGTCATGTAATTGAAGACTGAGAAAATGTTGGGTCCATCGTGCTTGATTGGAAATGGCTGTTTCTAAACCTTTATGAGAATTGACAATAAGTATTTTTATTATAATTCAGCCCATACATATATACTATGTATGCAGTGCATCTGCATAGAACAGTTCCTTATCCTTGGCCTTCTGTTTTATTGTTTTTTTTCTTTGCTGTTTTCCCTTTGCTTCTAATATTACAGTTTTGTATTTTGAAAAAAAAAAATCAAATAATGCTTATCAGAATCTTTATATGGAAGAAATCCTTTATTGCCTATCCTTTGTTTCCTTGTAAAGGCGCCCTGTTCTGTTATGGTTTTTCATTATATAAAATTATTATATCTATATATGACATATGCTAAAATAAATTTCTTGGAGAGTGTTAATCTTTTCTGTGACTAAATAGCAATAATAAATGAAAAATTAGAAATTATTTCCAGGTATTATATTTGTCACAGGCCATTGTAAATACCAAGTATATTGTGTCTGCCTTAATTTTAAAAAATGCATTCATTGTCTTCAGTCGTACAGAAAGACACATGAGACATAGATTAGAAAACATGTTGTACAATTTTAATTTACAACTGTTGGAAACAAAAATCACTTTCTTAATTTTTTTTCCAGTGTTTCTCCCTTATCTGGTTATTCAAGAAAGCCAAATTGTCTCTGAGATATTTAGCTTTTCAAACTATAAATAGATGCTCTAGTGTTATTTATTTTTTTTAATCCCACTTATTTTACCAGGGCATCTTGTATTAGGATATGTTATATTTATGCCAGTGGGAAACAAGTTATGGCCAAGTTTTGCAAAAATAGGAAGCAGTGAGATACTTGGTTTTTTCTCCTCACTAAATATCAGTAATTATCAGGAATGGTATTACCTATTTTCATTTCCTCTTTTCAGCTTTAAATTTTGTTGATTGGGACGCTAAAACTGATGTATACCTGAGGAAAAAATAGAATGTGCTCATGGTTAGGGAAAATTATATTATTTTTAATTTTTTCTTTTTTTTTTTTTAGCCAAGTAGGAATTTGGGTGTATGGATGAGAGGTTAATCTACTTCTGTAGGCTATAGAAGAAAACCAGTTGTATTTTATGGTCATAATTTGTCCCCCTGTTATTGTGGAAATTTAAATTTAGGTAAAGTAGCCGTCAATATTTTAATTGAAAAATACTAAAGCCACATAACTGAGTGGGATGTCATATGATACTTTCATCAAATTCCCTAATGCTGCCTAAGCATATGGATGTTTTAATTCTTTGCTATGTTATAAACAGATATCTAATACACCAGAATTATTGATGGTAAAATGGAAGTTGTGTAACTTGTGAATTTTTTTATCAATGTTTTAAATATTTTATTATTTAAATCTTAAAATCATTTAAAGACTTACGTTGCCACTGGGTGGCAGCCATGGCTTCTCCCACTAAGCAGCAGAAGTGACCAAATATAATAAGACAAATTTTCATCTCTATTACATCTGCTTTTAAAACATTTTAGTTCATATTCTATTATTTTTCTAACTCAGTGCTCCTTTGTTAAAGGTAATTATTAATAGTTAAGTTTTTAATGGAAGTAAAACTCATGTATGCTTATCTTCTTTGCTGTAAAATCACATGAATATAAATTGAGGAAAACTGTTTAAATGGTTGTAGGATGACTAGTAGTAAACATCGTCTTAATTTTTAACATATATATGATGAGGCTTTCCTTTTATTTGCTGTATGTTTCTGGGTTTTTCCCCAGTCTTCCTTATGAAAAAAATGTATGTTTGTAAAACAGGAACAATTAATGCTTTGCATCACAGACATAAACTACTCACAGTAAACTGCACTGAGCTGACATTAATAGAGCAGACTTTTGAGAAAGTAGGAATGTAGTAGCACTGGAAACAAAATGCAAATTTCTGTTCCATATTTAGGTTTATCATAGCTATGGAGCTCCCAGATAACCCATGTGTGCCAGTAATATCTATTGTGTGCTCTTAATACGGTATAAAAACCTCGCTGGAAGCTACTTATTTTGTACTTACACATTTTACCAGTTTTTAAAAAGTCTTAACACAATGCTTACACCAGTGACTGTTTTTATAATACTTGAAGTAACTTTAAGAACTGAAACAACCCTGGAAAACATCTACATAGCTAGATAGTAACAATACTTGTATTAGAAACCAAGTTTCCTTATTCCCAGCCTGGTGTGTGTATCATGACACACTACTCTGTGTATGTTTGGTTTTAGACTAGGAGGAGATTCCTGGGAAGAGCAGCATGACAGAAGTTTTCTTCCACATGAGGAGAATGCGTAGTTTCAAATTTAAATACACGTAACAGATGGAACCCTGCCTAACTCCTACAAATGACTTCCCTAAAATCTTAGTAGAAGGTTTTTTAGAACATTATATAAGCTTTGTAACAAAAACAATTGCCATTGTGTCCCTTATTTAGTCATAAATCCTTAGGATTCAGCTGAATATATATTCACACGTATATTACACATATATCACTATACAGTTAACACATGCACCCTGCACTATTTAGTGACAAATAATATTGCTAAACAAAACAGGAAGGCTTCATGCAATCTATTGCCATTGCTAGAAGAATAAATAGGCCTAGAAGATGAGCAACTTGGGTGGTTAGAATAAGGTCATTCTTGCAGAATATGGCACTTAAATTACCTCCAGCTGTAATGTCCTACCTTATAATCCAGAGGTTGCATAGAAGCAGGGTTGTCACAGTCTATGTAGTACCTTTGTGAGAATTAGGAAAAGGCATCTTTTTCTCTAGGCAGGCCCAGCCCTTCTCTAGAAGTTTGAATTTCACTCCCACCTTGTTGCTGGGGTACCTTCCTCAGGGTACATCTGAACGCAGTGGCCTTATACAGAAATGTTGTTCAACCCACACAGTGCTTTAAAAAATTAATTGCCAACATTTAAAAATTAGGGAGTTTCACATAAAATTTTGAAGTCAAAATATAGAGACGAATCTCTGAAACGTTTTATTTGGGAAGCAAGAATTGTAATTCAGGGCATATACACAGATAGTAGTTTTTGGTATGTCCAAAGAACAGAGAAGATTGGGAGTTTTATTATAAAGAAATGTTACGTATGTTTTGAAAGAAAACTCTGGCTCTAGAGAAGTTTTTGGGAGCTGGCAAACTGGTGTGTGACAGTGATAGGTAAAACCAATCTTGGAGTCACAGCAGGTCGTTTCAGCAGCTACTAGGTAAAACTGATCTGAGGGTTTGCAGTTGGCTGTTTCAGTAGCTGGGCTTGTGGAAAACAGTTCGTGGAGCAGCTGCTATGCCCTTCGAGTACTTTTTCCCCTTAGCGCATTGAATCTGATTTTGTTGGGTATGACAAGAATTACCCAATTTGTATAATTAACTTTCACACTCCCAACCCTTTTCTCCCTAGTTGAGATCTCCACATGCAGTTTACTCTCCCTGTTTTTCCTGTAACATGGAAAGTTTTGGGTTTGGAATCTGGAAATTACCATTTTTTTCAGAAACACTCAGTTACATTGTCCAAATCAAGAAATTAGGAGTGTGGCATTACAGTACTCCCTAAGTTTTCCATTTTAACACTTTGCTAGAAGATAAGAGGTCCTTTATAATCTTGCATTTATAGAACTTTTAACTTTCCAAATGGCTTCACAATCAAGGTCACTTTTTTCTTAAAGGACTTTTGATATAGAATAGATGCTATCTTAATTTTGTGGTTTGAACACTACCCTTTTTTAAAAAAATGACAGATGTACTGTTTCTGGAGAAACATTATTAGAAGCATTGGCTTGCTACTCGATTCTGATAGGCTGGTTTTGTTAGTGTTTAGCAAGTTTTTGTGACTCAATTCTCTGCTATCTTTTTAACACTTGACAGACCAGCATGATATGCATGCCCCACACCCTAATTTCTTGCTGTAACATGACCTAAACTAAATGACTTAGGAACTGAAATGTTTATTTCTACTCTACTAATGATGTGCACCTTTTATCTGAAAGTATACATAGTTTGCTGAGATTTGTTTAATGAGTAGAACTGGCGTTACGCTTGGTGGGGTTTTGAACAGAGGAGGAGTTTGAGCTGTCAGCCGCCATGTTCACAGAGGGAAGTGTTTTAAATTAGTGTCTTTGAGAATATTTCCTGGTGAGTTAAAGTAGATTTCTAAGGTAGTTGCTTTAAATAAATTTCTGTGCTCAGATAATTTATATCTTAGACTATGGAGAAACTTTTCAGATAGCCTTCATGAAATTACTGAGACGAAAAGGTGAATTCCAGAATGAGACTGTTAAGTGTTGTCTATTTTAGGCTAAACACAGGAATGGTTATTAAACTGATATTTTTTGAGTCCTTTTGAAGGAAACTTAGTAATCGAATAAGGATGGCTTATCTAGGAGAAGTAATGTCAAACTTGATATTTTCTCAAGGGGGATGTTATGGAGAACAAATTCATCAGGGCATATGATGATGTCAAGATGAAAATATTTTTTTAATGGTTACATCTCTCTATGTGTGATTTTATGTTTAAATATCTTTTGGAGATACTCATAATCAATTTATCCAACCAGCTCACCTCAAATATTGCTGAGCTGAGACTGTTCTAGCAATGTAATAATGAAGAAAATGGACAAAGTTTTTATAAAACTTATGTTTTAGTGATGTAATACATAATGGAGAAGAGCTCTGAATTAAAATAGAGCAGGGTGAGGGTTGAGTGAGGGTGAGGGTGTTAATTTATATAGGATGATAAAAAGAGGCCTCTGATAAAATTGACCTTTGAGTATACTGTGTGCTTCACTTAATAGAATCACTGATGACTATGAACAACCCGTGACTGAATAAAATACAGCAACCAAAATCATCTGAAAATTATGTGGAACTTCACTATTACAGAGCATTGTTTCTGGTTTTCAGATTTTAAATTTGACCAAAATGGTATTTTATTGAAATGCGGAGCATTTAACTACAGAAGGCTATTCTGAATAAACCCTGATTCTCCATTTTAAGAGGAGTTTTTTGGGGGGATGTCAGAAAAAGCTAACTACAGAAAGGACAGTTTGGCCGACTTAAGGGTTCTAATTGAGCACACTCTAAGGAAACCATGGAGGTTAAATTCCTGATGACCAGACAGTAAACATTTGGGAGGAAATTGAAAAATGGAAGTGTTTCAGAAGTGAAAAAGGAATGCAGGAGCCCTGAAAATTAGGTTCTAAAAATGTATAGAAATTCTACCTGGGGCTGGGCACAGTGACTCACACCTGTAATCCCAGCACTTTGGGAGGCCGAGGCAGGCGGATCATCTGAGGTCGGGAGTTCAAGACCAGCCTGACCAATGTGGAGAAACAGAGTCTCTACTAAAAATACAAAATCAGCTAGGCGTGGTGGCACATGCTTGTAATCCCAGCCATTGGGAGGCTGAGGCAGGAGAATCGCTTGAACCCGGGAGGCAGAGGTTGTGGTGAACTGAGATCACGCTGTTGCACTCCAGCCTGGGCAACAAGAGTGAAACTCCACCTGGAACAGACTTGGTGGAAGCATGAATTAGAAGAGTCTAAGACAAATGGAATTCCGCTATTTAAATTCCCTATGTTCTAGAAAGAAAAAATTGAGACAGTGAGTTCCAACTAAATGTCAGAAGTGCTAAAACACAGTATGTAGATATCTAAGAATCTTAATGCAAAGGGAAGGAACTATTCTGTGTTAAGTAGGGGAAAGGAAGATTACTGGAAAGTAGTAGTTGACCACATAGTTCATTGAAGGACACAGGGCCTATCCTGGACTTGCATAACCCTAAGAGTGAGTGCCTCCGATTTTGCACCCTAGGTGCTTCCCTTAATTTTAGTCTTGGCCCTGCAGGGCACAGAGAGCTTAGGGTTCTCTTCCTTGGCCACAAAACTTCCCATCCCTCCCCACTGCCTCAACCTTTTCATAAAAACCTTTTCTCTGCTGCTTTTCCTTCCATAATTAAATATCAGAGATTTAAGTGGCAAATAGTGTAATAGGAAAAAAAAATCCTATTTCTGAACTGTACCTACTTACAGGAAATAGGTCTATTCTTCCAGCAGTTTATCTTCTGACGTGGATGATCCTCCATGGAAGGCACCAGAAATTAACCTGAGAAGTGCAGGAAACAGGATAGAGAATAGTTTCATTGTGCATGTTGCATAGACAAGACATTACAACTTCTCTTTCTATAGAGGGGCACCCCAAAGCCAGAAGAGAAAGGCAAAATCAGGGTCAGGGATCATCCAGGAATGTTAGGGGTTAGCAGGTGAGGCACAGCCCTCCAGAAGTCCTCACCCAGTGATACAGCCCAGGTAGAGGTGGGTGGTCTGAGTTACTTGCTGGGTCATGACCCAGGCTTGAAACGGATTATTGTTCAAAAAATATGACAGGCAGATGGCATTATCTCTCAGTGCCCCTTGAGGTGTGCTGAGCCCAGGGCAGACTCTGTGCAATGGCTTACGAACGACTGGCAGGCAGTACTGTCTTGCCAGAGTATGGTAGTGCTGGACAGGAGTGTCTTGACAGGGACCCATGAGCAGGTGGAGCTAACTATCCATCGTAACACTTCAAAGTTTGGTGAACAACTCTTCTTCTCCGACAGCATAGCTACATGATTCTTATTCTTTCTTGCATTTTCTCTGTTTACTTTCCTTTTCATCCTCTTAATTCAGTCATGTTCCCCTCTACCTTTCCATCCTTGCTCATATCATTCTCCCAAAAGGAATGATGAACAGTGTGCCTCTCTTCCCCTCCTACCCATATCTAATTGGTACATCCGGAACCTCATATTGAGGTCTGCCTATTCCCTAAAGCCTTTGCTGATCTCTTGGATCACTCCTCTGTCCCGCAGACACATTGAAGCATTCCTTTGATGCTAACTGGGAGGCAATTAAGGTGAGTGAAAAAAGCTTGGAGTTACGCAGACCTCAGTTGGAATTCCTGTTTCCATCCCTGACGAGCTGTGATCTACAGTAAGTTAATTTCCCTGAGCCCTGTGTTCTCACCTGAAAAGTGGAGAATCAAATCATATCTTACCTTGCAAGTCTGTTGTGTAATATATGGACATGTATATAGTGTGTAGAAACCCTTTAGGACAAATCCTGGCAGATAATAGATAACCAGTACACATTGGCTTATATTGTTAACTTTTGACATGCTGGAACTGTGAGCAGAAGTGAACTTAGAAGAGAGGAATCAGGAAGCCAAGATGGAGAACAAAGGTAAGATTGGGGACAGACGTTGAGGCCATGTATGAAGCACTCTTAAGAGGAGCAGTGAGAGACTGTACAGCAGCTAGTGACCAGAGGTCAAAGCACAGATGTGACTACTGACTCACAGTGCTGGGATCAAGGAAAATATGCACCAAGTTTTCTTGGCTATGGTGTGGTAAAAAGATATACAGCAATGTTTATTGTATACTTTTTTTTGTGCCAGATCCTGTTCTAAGTCTCACTTAGTCCTCACAACAGCCCTGAGTCAGATACTAATACTTGTTCCCAATTTTCAGATGAGAACCATAAAGCAGATAGTTTAAATGACTTGCCTGAAGAAACACAACTAAAAAGTTGACACCAATCAACCGGAAACAAAGATGATTTATATACTGGAGACTCCCCTGCCCATATAAGCATCTAAGTTCAAATTTCTCAAGCTGAACATGTGCAGCCTTTTTCTATAGCACCCCCAATCCTGCCTGTCCTGACCACACTCCACCCACTTCATTATTTCACTTGAGGTGCTGCCATCCACCCAGTTACCCAAACTCAGAACCTGAAAGTCGTGTTTGGCTCCTCCTCCCCAGCCCTCTTAATCCACTCAATATCCAGAAGCTTTCAGTTCTACCTTCTTTATCTTTTGAATTTGGTCATTTCTCTCTACAGACATGAGAAACCTAGTGGAAGCCAACAGTGTCTGTCGCCTAGATCACTACCGTAGCTCCCTCATGGCCCTCCTGCCTTCAATCTGGCCCCCTGTGCTGTTTTCTCCACCCTAGTTACAAACTTTTTAAAGCTCAAATGCAGGGAATGACATAGTCATATTTGAGCTTTGAACCCTTCCTTTGGCATTCATTCCTCTCAGGATAAATTCCAAGCTCCTCAGTAAGGCATTCAAAACTCTCTAGAATCCTGTTTCTGTCTGTCATTAAGCCCCATTTCTCGCCGTTTCAACCTTGTTCTCATGTTGCACCAAACTTCTTCTTGTTTCCTAAAAACAACATTCCTGGCTGATTTTTTTTTTTTTTTTTTCTGGAGTTTAACACCCAGTCCTGGAGACACCTCCTTCAGGAAGCTTTCTGTGATCCTACAAACTGGGTTAGATGTTTCTTTTTAGTGATCCTATATTCCCTTATGAATATTGTTGTCACTTCATTTTAAAAATGAACTTATGATTATTCCTGCGTCCATCTTCTCCACTAGTTGGGAAATTCTTGTTGAGGGAATGGACTGTTGAATTCCTAAGAACTAGCACATAGTAGGCCTTCAGTGAATGTTTCTTGAATGAATAAATAAATGACCAACTTTCCCAAGGTTACATTATAAGTTCTGAAACTTGAACCAAAAGACATTATACTCTAGAACCCATGTTTATTCCACTATTGTATTTGCACATTAGGATGGTTAAAGTCCTTCAAGGGCTAAATTTTAAGGGGCTAAATACTATCATAAGGTTTTTCTTCCACCTCTTGAAATTGGTTTTAATTTTTCAGTAGTACATTCACATGACTCAGTAATCAAACGATATACAAAGATATTCAGTCAGAAGTCTTGTTCCCATTTTTCTCTTCCACCTTTCCAATTCCTACTTTCTCTGCCTCAAGGTAACCAATCTTGTTCATTTCTTACATCTTCTTTCAGTTTTTCTTTTTGCAAATGCATGCACATATGAAGCTATATATTCTTCTTTACCCTCCTGACTTTTAGAAAGGTATTTTAAATTTTTTCAAATATCTCTAGTTTTTCTGAAGTGGGCATGTATTAGAAAAAAGAGCTGCTCAGTACCCAGCTTGAATGAATTCACAGAGAAATTTAGAAGAGAACAGCTATTTAATGAGGGAGGGAGATAATCCTGCCGGCTCATTGGCTCCTAGGGATGTGCAGGGTCCTCTAGGACAGAGCCTGTGGTGCGGGTATTGCTCATAGGCAGATTCTCAAGCTCCCCAAAGTTACATTTTCTCTGGAACTCTCCTAGGCCACTCCCCGCTGATGCAATATCTGGGTTTGGGCAGAAAGGAGGGTGCTTCCGAGCCCGCCCTCTCTGAGTTTCCTGGGCCGGCTCTAGAACAATTCAGGCTTCGCTGCAACTCAGACCTCAGCTCCAACATATGCATTCTGAAGAAAGATGGCTGAGATGGACAGAATGCTTCATTCTGGAAAGAAACAATGTTCTAGGTCAAACTGAGTCTACCAAATGCAGACTTTCACAATGGTTCTACAAGAAATCTGGACAAGTCTTTTCATGTGGTTTTTCTACGCATTGATTCCATGTTTGCTCACAGGTAAGTATAAATTAGACTACATCCAATAGTTTGGGCCTTGAATATTGGTTAAGGCGGCAAAAAATACTTTCCCAGGGCCTGGGGTTGAAATATGTGTATAGAATATCTTATGTCTGTTTTATAAAAGATTTATCACCTCCTAAATCTCTATTCCCACATCCCAAGAAAAAGGCGTTCATTCTGTTTGGAAATCTCTCTTCTTAATGTCCACAGAACAATCTAGAAAGAGAAATCATCAAAATAAATAAAAGCAGAGCTCTGTGCACTTTGTTATTTATCTTATCGTATGGTTTTAAAGAGTGCAACATAGTTCTGTCAGACTTTCTGTGTGTGTCTTGGAGATGTTAACTATAAGAATAGATTAAAACAAAGATTCTAGCAAAATACACATGAATAAAAAGACAATTTGTGAGCTTAACATTGGATACAAGACTTAAAAAAATTGGATTTCTCTCCTGGTCATTGAAGAAAAGGTACTCCATAGCGTTCTAAAAAGTATTTGGTTTGGGACGTTTTCCCTGCCAGTGAGATTACGTGATTTTCTCTGCTCCGCTCCTGGTTGCTTGTATCTACCTGCTTTAATGTCTTAAACTTGGAACTCTTTAGCCTTTGATGTTTGTTCATGTCAAATCATGTTTAAGGAAAACTTTTCATTTTGATACTCCAAGACACTAGGCACTTTGCAGTGTTGATGGGAGCCTTGAGTACTTTCTCTCTCTCTCTCTCTCTCTCTCTCTCTCTCTCTGTGTGTGTGTGTGTGTGTGTGTGTGTTTTACACAGAACTAATTTAATTATTCTAGTTAGTTTAAATCAGGCAACAAGTCAGTACTAAGACAATTTGCAAAGGTGTAAAACTGGCTTAAACATCAAATTTATGGTGTTTTTTTCTTAAAAACCTTCACAGCTCCCAGTTGTTCAGCACATGGTGTCCAAATTCTGTTGTTTGTCTCTCATCACCCAGCATATTCAGGCCCCACCCTATATTTATTTAACCCTATTTCTCACTACTCCTTGAAAACAAATATGGACTACAAGCAGCTGCTGGCTTAACAGTCATCATATTATACCTTCATTTCCTCCTTCTGGCCTTTATTGTTATAATTTCCCACCAGAAGCACCATCTTCAGTTTTTCCTTCTACATCTTTTCAAGACCTCTCCCTTCTTTGACCCCAGGTACTTTAGCTTCGGGTGGTTACTTCTCTTTCCAGCACTGGCCTGGAGGGCCTGGGCCTGGGCATCTTTTCTGGTGTCGCCACATCCCCTAGCACAGGCTAAGCATGCTGGTTGTTTGGTTAGTTAGTTGGTTGGTTATTTAGTTGTTGGAACAAAACTGTTGCCAAGAAAACATCCCTCCACTAAACTGAGATGAGAAGATGGGAGGGTGAACGAGAAGAGGAAAGCCCAGCATTTTTTGACTTGACATTTTCTTCAATGGCGCCAGTCTTATAAGTCTTTTCTTGAAAACTCCTGTTTTAAACAGATCTGGAGGTGAGTGTGCACTTCTGACACTTACACACTTACATAGAAAACACACACACACCAAAAAACCTCAGTGGCGAAATCACAAGGAGGTCAGCGCCAGAAAGACCTGTGTGTGAGTTTTTGGCTCTG